CTGGAAATTTTCTACCCTACAAATTAGACCAAGATAAGGATGTCCACTATTCAATGTAGTACTGGAAGCCCTAGCAGAGCAATCAGGCAGGGGAAGAAAATAAAATAATCAAAATAGGAAAATAGGAAGTCAAATTCTCTCTTCACTGACATTGTGATTCTATACCTAGAAAACCCTAAAGATTCTGCAAAATACATCTAGATAAGCTAAGTCACTTAAGCGAAGCCTCAGGATACAAAATCCAGTAGCATTTATATGCACCAACCACATTCCGTGGAAACCGAATCAATAATTAAATACCATTTACAATACACACACACACACACACACATGCACACACACAAACACAAACTGAGACTACATCTAAACAAGGAGGTGAAAGGCCTCTACAAAAACTAAAAAAAAACACTGCTGAATGAAATCAGAGAACATACAAAGAAATAGAATAGCATTATGTGCTCATGGGTTGAAAGAATAAATATCATTAAAATATCCATATTACCCAAAGAAATCTATAGATTCAAGCTATTCCTATCAGATTACCAAATTGCTGTTCACAGAATTAGAAACAACTATTCTAAAATACACAAGAAGAAAAAAAGACCCTGAATACCCAAAGCAATCCTAACCAAAAAGAATACAACCAGAGGCATCACATTACCTGAGTTCAAACTGTACTGCAAGGCAATGGTAACCAAAACAGCAGAACGATTCTGGTATAAAAATAAATAAATAAATAAAGACACAACAATGAAACAGCCCAGAGAACCCAGAAATAAAGCCATACAACTACCACCAACCAATCTTTCACAAAGTCAACAAAAATAAATGAGGAAAAGATATCCTATTCTGTAAATAGGAATGAGAAAACGAGCTAATTATATGTATAACAATGAAACTGGACCTCTGCCTCTCACCAGATACAAAAAATAACTCAAGGCTGAGCATAATGGCTCATGTCTGTAACTCTAATGCTTTGAGGGGCTGAGGCTGGAGGATCACTTAAGCCCAAAAACTTAAGACCAGCCTGAACAACATAATGAGACCCTATCTCTATCAAAAGTTAGAAAAAATAGCTGGGCATGGGGTTATGTGCCGGTTGTCATAGTTACTTCAGAAGCTGAGGCAGGAAACATGCTTGAACCAAGCAATTCAAAGTTGTAGTGAGCTATGATTACACCATTGCTCTAAGTTTTCCAAGGAAATTTAGGAAATACTCTTGTAGACACTGGCCTTGGCAAAAAAGCTCATCAGTTTCCTCATCTATAATGTGAAATTACTGATAGTACTTCTGCTTTTACCCCGATAAGAGTTGTGCCAGGAAGGCACATGCATCTGTTGAATCTCATTTGCCTCCAGTTCAAAATAACCCTTATGCCAAAGTGGCTTATGTTGGGGTGGCATATTTTGATCCTCAACAAACAGAACATTAAAAAATTAAAACACCGTACTTGCCACAGACATCCGTTTCAATACACCCCAAATAAATATGGAGTCCTGCAAAAGAGTGAGTAAATGAAGTTTAAAGAATTTCTCGGCCTCCTTGGTGAGCCAGAATGGCCCTTCTTACATAGGAAATCATGGGCCACTATTGCTGAGAAAGCCTTTGCAAAGGAGGGTTGAATCTGGCTGGTGACTTGTTGGGAGCTTTGAGGATGGGCAGATTTCCAATGAGTCACTCAGAGTCTTCTAAATGTAAAATATTCTATTTTATTTGCTGGTAAAATTAAAATGATTTTGATGTTGAGTAATTTAATAATCAAGACAATTTTCTTCAGCATTTTTTTGAATGTGTACCTTATGAAGAATTAGGATGATATCCATGGATTACTGACCTTTCTTAGCCCAGTGTTTGTTTTTTCTCCTGTGTAGGAGTGGGCTAAGTGATAAATCAGGGTCAGGCTCTAGGACAGAGGATGGCTTTTTTAGATAAATGAGATTCCTCCTTCAGCACTAGCAGATCTCATTCCAGGAGTCATCTTGGACTAGCTCCCATATAATTGCTGATTCTTACATCTTCCCAGTAGCCCATTAGCTACCTCGGATCTGATTTTGACCTACTTCGATAGCTTTTGTGTTTTGAATCTACTTGGATTTCAGCATGAGTCTCATTGGCTCTGCCCAGTGGATTTCTACCCTCTTGCTTTTCCCATCTCATCCTTTCACCTGATCTGTTGTTGGAACCAGATCTTCACCCTCAGTTATGGTACAACTGCAGTTTGTACTACAATTATACAATTATATATGTTATATCTATAAGCAATAAAATTTAAACTCTCACCTTGTCAGGGGCCCTAGATCTGAAATCAAACTAGGTTGATTTTGCATCTCAGTTATGCTGCATGTGTGACTTTGAGTGGATTGAAAGGCTATTCTATTTGGCAGCCCAAATTGAGCATGATAATATTGAATGCCCTATGGGGTTACAATAAGGACTACGTTACAATGTATATAAAGACCTTATAGTGTCTGGCATATAGTGATTGATAAATATAAATTTTAATTTTTGTTATTGTGTCAATTCTCCTAAAACAGACACTATGAAGGGTGTTCATTTGAAGCCAAATCTTATAGTATATTCTCTCTACTACACATGGGAGGAAGAGCTAACAAGTTGTAAAGCATTACACATTTTAGAAATAGGATGCCATCTATTTAACTGCCCTTGCTGCTTTTGATAACCTTTGCAAACCATTGATGGAGACCAAATCAAAGGCAGAATCCCTGTGCATGGTGGAAGAGCAGCACCTGAGTCAGCCTGGTGCCTGTCCAGGGCTACAGGGCATGGAGAAAGCTTAGCGTTCATGACTCTTTGGTGGGGGGAAAAATCTCGAAACTCATCTTGTGCAAACTCCTCATTTCACCATTGAGAAACTAATCTGGAGAGATTAAATATTGTGCCTTGGGTCACACAGAAGTGTTAAGGCCAGAACACTCGTTCTGTGATACCATGTAAGGCTGGTCACCATTCTTCTCCATCACTGGTTCTCAAATGGTGGTCCTTGATTTAGCAGCATCAGCTTCACCTGGATGAGAACTGATTAGAAATACAATCGGTTTTATCTTAGGGCCTGTTGAATAGGAAATTGTTGGGGTCAGGAACAGGAATCTGTGTTAAAACAAACTCCACGTAATTTTGATGCATAAGCAAATTTGAAAATAATTGCTCTTTGTCGTGTTTGTTTTTATTGCTTTTCCCAACCTATTAATATGTATTTCTGTGTATCAAGATAGAAATGTAAGGAAGCATGGAAATAAGCAAAAAGAAGAAAAAACAGAGATCTTTTGGTACTAAGATACACACACAAGTACACACACTTTTTGTTTTCTCACAGAAGACAAGCTATCTATTTATTTTACCATCTTGAGGTCTCAGTACTAGGAGAGCTGCTCTCTTCTGTGATTTATTGCAAAGAAACAAGTACATTCCCAGTTTCAATATTATTGGTTGCATGTAGTAATGACTATTGGCTCTTCCAGGCATGTAAACATAAATACACCAGAGAAGGCAGAAGGTCTATTTGTATGAGAAATATTATTGTTTTGTCCAACTATTTTGCTATTTTTCTCCAAAAATATGACACATGAAAAGGTAACGTGAAAGTGCCAAGAAATTGATGTTTCATGGCAAAGCCAACAGTCTCCAGAATGCTTAAATCATGTTACATAGAGCTGTCATTTCTTTCTCCCTGAGCATCTGTAGATGGTGCATGAAAGCAGTTGAGTGTAATATAATAATGATTTTTCATGGGTCTTTCTGGATGGATCTTTCTCACTCATCATCAAACTCTATAAAAGTGCCTGGTGATATTTTAGGTCCTGGAGTGTTTTGATTATTTTTTATGGAACTTTATAGCCAAAGCATTGGGTTTCTAACACTTTCACAACAAAATAATAAAATAGCTTGATAATTTTATAAAAAGTTTGAGATGAGCTGGTTTAGGGCATTGATAATCCTTGGAAAACATTGCCTGGCTTCTATAGGAATATCTTTACAATTTGGGGTAAGTGGGCTGCCATTTTAAGGCTTAAATTTGAGTTTCAATCTTAAGGAGGGATTTTGGATGTGGATCATTGATTATGGGAAGAATTACATATGTTTTCAACCTTCTGACCACTTTACACATGATAGTCATTATTCTTGTTCTTTCTCAGGATCTTTATCTTCATCATCCTCAATATCATCACAGCTGACATTTACTGAACATCAGCAATGTGGTAGGCACTGCAGGAAGACTTTTCATGTGACTACTCATGTAATCCTCAATGAAACCTTAAAGATGAGTAAGGTCATTGCCCACTTTATAGATGAAGAAACATAAACAGGAGGATAAGGTTAAGTAACCCAGGATAACAGGGCTAGGGAGCACTGCTCAGGATAGAGAAGTTCAAGATGTTTGTCTCCAGGGCACTTCCTTAACTTCTGTATGCTGCTGTTTTTTCATTTCTTTAAACCTGATATCTCCACTAAATTATGTGTGATTATTTGCTCTATACGAGAAAACAAGACTCAGAAAGAGAAAAAACCTTTCTAAGGTTACAGGCCCAGCAAGTAGAAGGCTGGTGTCTGTGGACCATTTGCAATCCCTGCATTGCCTTTCACACTGCCTTGCACATAGTTTTGGTGTCTTGTGTTTTTCTGTGTTTTGTCTTTGGCTCCAGTGTGTAATGATTTTCACAACATTTGTCCAAGAACCATATAGTCTTTTGGTTTGTTTGTTTGTTTGTAGGAAAAAATGGTTTTGTACATGAGATGAAACAATATAAATTCAAAACTTACAGATAAATGTTAGCTCTATTACTCAACTCTTTAAAATGTTTATATGAATATCTAGTCAAAACCATAAAGTATTTCCCTTGAAATGTTATCTATACCAATTCCCAAGGAGACCAGAGGACTGTATACTGTCTTAGAATGTCCTCAGAAGGCTGTCATTGATCAGGTAACAGTAAAAACCCAAGAGTCCTTTCTTTCAAATGGAAAAGGAAAGCAGAGGGACAGGAGCTATTCAAACTTTATCTTCTTTCCTTGTGGCTTGTGGTCACCTCCTCCTCCTCTGCCTCCTTGAAAGCTGCCTCGCCCTCCAAAGTCTCCCCGGCCTCTGCTACCAAATCCTCCTTGGCCTCCTCTGCCACCACCTCATCCTCCAAAGCCACCTCTGCCTCCACCATGACCCCCAAAGCCACCTTCACCCTTAGATTTGGCACAGTCCAAGGTAACTTTATTTCCATCAATTTCACCATCTTCCATGGCCTCCTTGGCAGCTTTGGCATCCTCCTCACTGTTGAAGTTTACAAAACCGAACCCTTTGGAGGACCCAGTTTCCCAGTCAGTGACTATCCTTGCCAGAACAGAGCCCTCAAATGACTCCTTTAATGTCTCTTCAGTGGTATCCTCAGACAGGCCTTTGACAAACAAGAGTTTTGGATGGCTGGCTTCTGGCATTAGGTGATCCCCTTGGTCCTTGCAACTCCAGCCTGATGACTCTGCCCTCAATTTCCCTTTTATTACAGGAATTTAAAGCTTCTTTAGCATCTTCAAATGAAGGAAACTCTATAAATGCATACCATTTAGATTTGCCAGTATGGTTCTGGGGTGCTTTGATAAGTTGCTTTCTCAAGTACTTCCGGAAGAGTTTCTTCTGTTGCACTGTAGGAGAGGTTGCTTAAAACCAGAGTTTTTGATTCAACACTACAAGTGCTATTCTTTCCACCTCTATAGTCTTGATTTTCACCTTTCTCTCCAGTATAATACAGGGAAATAGATCGCCCATTGATCTCCATTCACCGCTTTTCTTCAAAGGTTTTCTCTGCATCAGCTTCTGTCTTAAATTCAATATAAGCAATCTCTTTACTTTTCCCATCCTTGCTGACTAATGTGATCTCTGCAGTAGTATCTTCAAACACTTTTTAAAATTCATCCTGAGTCACTTTGTAAGGGAGATTTTTAGCCAAAAGTGTTCTCGCATCTTGCTTTTTCTTACTGTCTTTTCCTTTTGGTTTCTCTAGTTTAATTTCATTGCCAAGACTTTCAAACCAGTAAGTTCCAAGGCTTTTTCCAGGTCTTCGGCAGATTCAAAATCCACATAACCAAATTTCTTAGTCATACCAATTCTGACACTCACAACAGCAAGCTTATTTTTAGCAAAATCATCGCTGATACCAGTTTTTAATTCAGGAGCATATTTGCTAAAGTTTAGATTTCCAACAAAAAGATTGAAAGCTGTGGTCGGTTCTGTGCTTTCCACTTTCTGTTTCTTGGCTTCAGGAGCTGCTTTCTGTTTGGTCATTTTCTTCTTTCCTTCTCCAGGTGCTTCTTTGACAGGCTCTTCCTCATCTTCTTCCTCTTCTTCCTTATCATCTTCCTCATCTTCATCTTCATCCTCATCTTCATCATCATCCTCGTCCTCATCATCCTCTTCTTCATCTTCATCCTCAGCCACGTTCTTGGCTTTCACAGGAACAGCTTTTGCAGCTCTCTTTCCTTTGGCTGGCATGGTCTCCATAGCTTCCTCTTCAGAGTCGTTGTCTTCATCACCATCCTCCTCCTCCTCATCATCATCCTCATCATCCTCATCCTCTGAGGCAGGGACAGCAACTGCTGCTTTCCCCACTGTTGGTTCAAATTCATCCTTATCCTCATCATCCTCCTCACTGCCCTCCTCCACCTCTTCATCACTGTCTTCCTTTTTGGCATTCTTGCCATTCTTTGCCCTCTTGGCTGGGGTGGCAGCACTCTTCTTACCAGGAGTTGCTACCAATGCTTTGCCTGGTGTGGCTCCCTTCTTGACAGGTATGGCGACTGCTTTGGCTGGTGTAACTATCTTTTTGACAAGTGTTGCTGCTGCCTTTTTGCCTGGAGTGACAGCTGCTTCATTCACTGGTGTGGCAACTGCAACCTTTTTTGTTGAGGAAACTACTACTTTCTTTGGCAGGATCGCAGCAGCCTTCTGGCCTTTCTTCTGAGGTATGACAACCCCTTCTCCACTGCTATCACTTTCTACATCTTCTGACATTTCCTCATCTTAACTATCTTCTTCTACCTCCTTTGAAGGAGGAGCCATTTTCTTGGGGTCACCTTGATTTTTTCCTGCCTTGGATTTCTCATGAACGTTATTCCTTTCGCAGCGAGACAACCCCGCCCCTAAAAGAGGCAGCGCAGCCACGTGGGGGTACCTGGTAGGCCACCACGTGCCCAAAACAAGGCGCAAAAAGCACGGGGCAGAGCCACCTCTGGGGCTCACCACTTGTCGGTTTGCCAGGCTGGGGAGGAGACATCCTGAGCGCAGCCGGGCCTCGGACTAGGGCCAATGCCGCCACTTCCCACCCCAAGGCACTGGTCCTTCTGGAGATCCCGGGACCCTTGTGGCTCGGCCCACGTGGCAGGTGGCGCTCCAGGGCATGTGTGTCAGGAGTTGGGTTCCAGCTCCAAAGTGTCGCAAGAGTTTGGTCTCATCTCCCCACCCCAGGGCCCAGCGCCCCCTCCTTGGGCTCAGTGACTCAGAACCATATAGTATTCTAATGTTCTGCCCTTTTCAAGTGAAGAAATAGAGAATGTACTGAATACTGAGACTTTGCTAAGAAAGAGAATACAAAGTTTCTGATTCCATCAATAATTATTTGGTAGAATGTGTGACTAATGGTCCAGAGGGAACAGAAAGCTCAATTCCAGTTTGACTCCCTGCTGTTTATTTCTGTGTGATGGAAGGTTGGTCATCGAATCAATCTCTGCTTGGATTTATACTGGTTGCCAACGGACACAGTATATTACTTTTTTGATATTACTTTTTAAAATAATAAATAAGAAGAGTAAGGATTATCAACTAGTAGAGATTCATGAATATGTTTTAGACAAAATAATGACCTTATAATATTTCACTTCAACCTTCTTTCTGCAGAAAGTGAGATGAATATGACTTGCAGAGGTATAGTGAGAATTAGTCTATACACCCGTTATAGAACCCATGATTTGTTACCTAAGAGGCACTCAAAATTGGCAACTACTGTTTGCGATCAGGAACCAATTGCCTCAGAGTATAGGTTGTCTAGTGTCTCTGTCTTGAATACAAAGACTGAGTGTGGGAGAATGATTATACACTTAAATTTAGCTTTCTAGTGTTTTACTTTACAAATTATCAAGCCCAGCTACTAATCCAGCTTCCCATTAGCTGGATAACTCTGAGGAAATAGGATTGTGTCCCTTTCTCCCTCAAATGCTGCTGTGAGGTTCAAAGAACTGTGAACTGAGCATCTTAACCACCTGTTTTACTCTAGCTGGATTACGTTGCCACCTGGTATAAGAAAAGATGGAAAGCAGGCTTAACTTCCTACCACTGAATAGGCCTCTGCTCTAAGTCAGTCTTTTCCAAAGCCGGGTGTGCACACTTCAGGGTGTGGAAAATTTTTTTCTTGATGTACATATATTATATATATATATATTTCTATTTATGTCTGTATGTTATGAAATCTTTATATCTTGCATATATTGATACATATATGTGACATAACATTGATATCAATTTGGAAATCTTTTTTCATTGTTCTACTATTTGTATATATTCTCCAATGTTATCTTTAACGATTTCATGGTGTTACATTATTTTAACTAGTTATAATTTATAACTAATTTCCTATTTAAAAAAATTGTAAGTAGTAGTCTATCAGGCCACTTAATTTTAGAAAAAAGATTATAATAAATACTTCAAAGTATAATTATCTGCAAGTGTAATTACTGAGTTAAAAGACTGCATAGATTATTTATTTTTTAAAGTTTTATGTACTAATGTAAAAGAAACATGATGACTTGTTTTGTCTGCATTCATCATAGATATTTTTGTATGCATTGGATATGAAAAGTGTCACAAGTTTTGAAACCCTGACAGATTATTCTGGGCAGAATATTTTCTTTTTTGACAGAATTGTTGGCTTCTTGGTCCTGTCTTTCTGCTTCATTGAACAGGAGCGCCTGTTCTGTTTGACTTCATCCATTTTGAACTCTCAAATGGTCACAACCTCTAAGGCAGAGTTACAAAAGGCCATCAATCAGCATAAACTGTTGCTCAGTCCACAGGTCTGATCCTGGGTTTGGAGAGACTGTCACTGGCCATTCATTGGGAGGTAAATTTGTCTTTTATACTGATGTAGCTAGTCCAGAGGAAGCAGGTCATGGTGCACGGTAAGGATTCTAACATTAAGTGCATTTAAAAATGCCTGACACACTTGCATGCAGCTTGAATTTTGAGAGCACCCTGCTTTTTCCTAGAAATGTTGTTCATTAGCTAGCAGGTCAATATCATTCTTGAAGTATTGATTTTCATTGACCATACAACCATCCCTATGAGCCTCCTTGTAGAAAGAAACCATGCAGAGCTTGGATGTTAATTTTGTTGTTGTCTTTAAAAAAATTACAGTATTATCTTTGAGCATTTGAAGGCTGAGCTGGAGAAGCAGCATTAAAATCAATGCCAAAAAAAAAGAAAAAAAGAACTTCTGGCTAGACCTTATGTTTGGCAATAGTAGAAGCAACTAAACAGCCTTTGTTTTGAATGAGTATAAAGAAAAATAAACAACCCCATCAAAAAATGGGCAATGTATATGAACAGACACTTCTCAAAAGAAGACACTTATGCAGCCAACAAACATATGAAAAAGTGCTCATCATCACTGGTCATTAGAGAAATGAAAATCAAAACCACATTGAGATACCACTTCATGTCAATTAATCATTAAAAAATCAGGAGACAACAGATGCAGGAGAGAATATGAAGAAATAGGAATGTTTTTACACTGTTGGTGGGAGTGTAAATTAGTTCAAACATTGGGAAAGCTGGCTAGCCATGTGCAGAAAGCAGAAACTGGACCCCTTCCTGACACCTTACACTAAAATTAACTCCAGATGGATTAAAGACTTAAACATAAGACCTAACACCATAAAAACCCTAGAAGAAAATCTAGGCAAAACCATTCAGGACATAGGTGTAGGCAAGGACTTCATGACCAAAACACCAAAAGCATTGACAACAAAAGCCAAAATAGACAAATGGGACCTAATCAAACTCCACAGCTTCTGCACAGCAAAAGAAACAGTCATTAGAGTGAATCGGCAACCAACAGAATGGGAAAAAATTTTTGCAGTTTACCCATCTGACAAAGGGCTGATATCCAGAATTTACAAAGAACTAAAACAGATTTACAAGAAAAAAACTAACAAGCCCATTCAAAAGTCGGCAAAGGATATGAACAGAAACTTTACAAAAGAAGACATACATGAGGCCAACAAACATGTGAAAAAATGCTCATCATCACTGGTCATCAGAGAAATGCAAATCAAAACAACATTGAGATACCATCTCACTCCAGTTAGAATGGCGATCATTAAAAAATCTGGAGACAACAGATGCTGGAGAGGATGTGGAGAAATAGGAACACTTTTGCACTGTTGGTGGGAGTGTAAATTAATTCAACCATTGTGGAAGACAGTATGGCGATTCCTCAAGGACCTAGAAATAGAAATTCCATTTGACCCAGCAATCCCATTACTGGGTATATATCCAAAGGATTACAGATCATTCTACTATAAGGACACGTGCACACGAATGTTCATTGCAGCTCTGTTTACAATAGCAAAGACCTGGAACCAACCCAAATGCCCATCGACGACAGATTGGGTAGGGAAAATGTGGCACATATACACCATGGAATATTATGCAGCCATCAAAAATAATGAGTTTGGGTCCTTTGTAGGAACATGGATGAACCTGGAAACCATCATTCTCAGCAAACTGACAGAAGAGCAGAAGATCAAACACCGCATGTTCTCACTCATAGGCGGGTGTTGAACAATGAGAACACATGGACACAGGGAGGGGAACACTACACACTGGGGTCAGTTGGGGGGAAATAGGGGAGGGACGGTTGGGGGTGGGGAGCTGGGGAGAGACAACAAGGGGAGAAATGCCAGATGTAGGTGATGGTGAGGAAGGCAGCAAATCACACTGCCATGTGTGTACCTATGCAACAATTTTGCATGTTCTTCACATGTACCCCAAAACCTAAAATGCAATAAAATAAATAAATGGAAAAAAAGAAAAAAAAAAGAAAAAAAATTTAGTTCAAACATTGTGGAAGATAGTGTGGCCATTCCTTAAAAATCTAGAAATAAAAATACCCTTTGACCCAGCAATCCCATTACTGGGTATATATCCAAAGGATTATAAATCATCCTATTATAAAGGCATGCATATGTTTATTGTGGCACTGTTCACAATAGCAAAGACTTGGAACCAACCCAAATGCCCATCAATGATAGAATGGACAAGGAAATTGTGGCACATATATACCATGGGATACCATGCATCCATTAAAAATAATGAGTTCATGCCTTTGCAGGCTCATGGATGAAGCTGGAAGCCATCATTCTCAGCAAACTGACACAAGAACAGAAAACCAAACACCACATGTTCACTCATAAGTGGGTGTTAAACAATGAGATCACTTGAACAAAGGGAGGGGAACATCACACACTGGGGCCTGTCAGGAGGTATGGGGCTAGGGTAGGGATAGCAGGGGATGGGGGATAGGGGTAACATTAGGAGAAATACCTAATGTGGATGACGGGGTGATGGATGCAGCAAGCCACCATGGCACGTGTACACCTATGTTAACAAACCGGTATGTTCTGAACATATATCCCAAAACTTAAAGTATAATTAAAAAAAAGAAAAAGAATGACCTTTTCTGCATAAACTACTATCCATTTCTTCTGGGGAGAATATCTTTTAAGAGAGCAGATGCATGGCATGTAAGTGCATTATAGAATTTTCCTAAATGCGTCCTCTAAGCTGTCTGAGAGAAGGGCTTTCAGGATGACTGACTTCCTGTTCTGACAGGTGTAGGCTTGAGCCAGCAGTTCACTGAGTATGCTCTCTCTCTTTTCCTCTCTTCCTCTTTCTATCTGTTCCCCTCTCTGCTGCTGCTCTACCTCTCTCTCATTCTTCTCTCCCAACTTCTTCCTTCTGCTTTTTCTTTCTTCTCTTTCTTCCATTATACTTTTTTGATTTTTAATATTGCTAACTTAATACATGTTAATCATATTGACTGTGGAAAATTTAGAAAACATAGAAAACCATAAAGAGGGAAATTAGCAAAATCACCTGTAATCCCATTTCACAGAATGAATGCTTTGTGTTGATGGGAGTGGAAAGAAGTGTGTGTGTATGCACAGCCATGTTTGCACACATACATGTATAATTATGCAAGATGACTAGCATTAATTTTTGATTAATAAGACCAATCAAGCTGATTGTTCTTAACTAGTAATTCTCTTTTAAGATATGCAATATTGGCCAGGCGCAGTGGCTCACACCTGTAATCCCAGCACTTTGAGAGGCTGAGGCGGGCAGATAATAAGGTCAAGAGATCGAGACCATCCTGGCCAATGTGATGAACCTCGTCTAATACAAAAATTAGCTGGGTGTGGTGGTGTGCGCCTGTTAGTCCCAGCTACTTGGGAGGCTGAGGCAGGAGAATAGTGTGAATCCAGGAGGTGGAGGTTGCAGTGAAGCAAGATTGCCTCCACTGCACTCCAGCCTGGTGACAGAGCCAGAGTCAGTCTCAAAAACTAAAAAAAGATATGTGATATTGTCCATGGAAAGTGTTTTGCCACTAATAAATTAAAAGCTCATGCAATTTTTGAAAATATATTTCCAAAGCACCATGTAAAATCTCTTCTGTTTTGAGTATTGTTTTGAATGTGCTTGAGAAGGAAGGTGGGTAGTCTCAAAATATCTCTATCAAAGGACCATCTTGCTCCCTATTCCTCTGTCCCCCAGGGCAGATGCTGCAAATGTGCTATGGGAAAAGGCTCCAAAGGGGTCATTAAGAAATTGCAACTAAGGTTTAAGTTGTTTAGAATGTGTTCAAGAGTAAAAATCAGTTTGGAGACTTCACTTGGAAGTGTTAAAAATTATCTTAAGCCAGAGAGGCAGGCTCCAAGCACTATAATGTCCCAAAGGAGGATCTGCTCAAGACAGAGAATGCACAACTAAGAAATGGTACCTCTTACAGAAAATGCTTGGGGCCGCCATCTCTCCCTTCATCATCAATCAGGCATGCACCTGCCCAGAGGGTCTGAGCTGAGGACTGAGCTTCTGCTGTCCTGTGCTATTTAAAATAAAGAGACATAAAAAGAAGGCAGATGAATGTATGGAACCATCAGATATTGAAATATAGCAGCTGATACAATAATCTTCCTCTGGGTTTGCTGTATTTTTGTTTAATTGTAAATATAAGCAGGAGAGACATTCCCATGCCCGGACTCAAATAGGGGTTTCTTTCCAAGCCATTACTGTTTTCTGTCAGTAGATGGCACTGTTTTGAATGAGACCATTTTGGTTGAATTCAATTGGAAAAGTGAATAGAATAACGCTTTTGAATAAAGAAGAATGCATAACTCCAAAGCTTTGCTACCAAAGACAGAAATAGCTAGCATAGTAGCAAAAGTATGTTTTCTAGCTTCTAGATCAGCTCTATTCTATAGAAATATAATGGGAGCTATATACGTATTTTTAAAGTTTTATACAGCAACATTGAAATAAGTAACATAAAAGGTGAAATTACCTTGAATAAAGTTATTTCCTTTAACTAAATATATCAAAAATATTAAAACTTCAACATGTAATCAATAGTAGAATTATTAATGAAGTATTTTGCATTCAGACGGCCAGCATTTCAAGTCCTCAATAGCCGGTAACCAATATGATATTATGCTACTTGATCTGGCTGGTTACTCCTCTTTTTCTCCCCTTTTTCCTCAGAACAGGCGATTTTCCAGAATAACTGGCCTGAACAAACTCCATGTTTTCACTTTTTTAGAGTATAGTGTTGTGTTGAATTTCATCCTTGCTAAAGTAGAGTCTCTGCCCATGCAAAAAGATAAATGTACTAATGCCACTTTTGATCCTATAGAAGACTACAATGCCAGCATCTAGTAGAATAACTACTAGAATGTTTTCTGCCATCCACTAAGCATTGAATCGCTACCATGCACCAGACAGTGTTATAACATCCTTGTATTTATGAACAAGATGAATTAAGGGAAAAGTTTGAAGAGACACAGTGTGACTTGCATCTTTTTCCATCCATTTCTCTCCATTTAGTCCATTCAGTTGGCATTTATAAAGTTCCAAACTGCCTCCCAAAGTTTGTCAAGTTCTGAGGACAAACAAAAGAATAAGGTTGCTTCCCAGAAGATCACAGTGCTATGGGGGAATGGACAGTTACACCGAATGACATAAATGCTATTAAAACATGTTCAAGATATAATGAGCATTAAGAAGAGGCACACAGTTTCAGATGGAGGGTGCTCATGTTAGGAGGTGGGGAAGTGGGGTAAGCTTTTTGAAGGGTTTCTTGTCTGAACTGAGTCATTGAAGGATGGGCAGGACCACAGGACTTGGAAGATGGCATGTTCAGCTTGGGTAGGGTGAGGATGCACCAGGTAGGGCCAGCATAAGCACTGCCTGGAGGTGTAAGCGGGTGTGGTATGTTTAGAAAACTATAAGTAATTGAGGTTTTCTCATGTGTGTAAAGCAGCAAGAGATGGACAATGCTTGGATCACCAAAGGCCTTGTATTTTATGCCAAGGCCTTAAATTAAAATTGAAGACAAAAATCATTAAATAATTCTTATTAGAGAAATGATATGGGTCGATTTCAATTTCAGAAAACTCACAGTACCTTTGGTGTGTAGAATGGAATTGAAGAGGACAGGATGAGGTATGGAGACTCGTGTTTGGGGCTTTTAGCAGCAAACTCTAGGAGGAATTATGAGAGCCTGACATACAGCAGTAGCCACAGGGATGAACTCCTCTTATATTTGAGAGATATTTAGGGAACAAGGTTAATAGGAAGGGGCGATTTGCTGCATGGAAGGGAGACCTGCATTAAGGAGAGAAAGAGTTGATTCAGATTTTGTAGGCTCAGAAGCTTCTACAACTTTGGGGATGTATCCTCCAGAAAAATTAAGAATTAATTACGAAATTAAGAATTTGCATGGTGATGCTGGACACATGGGTCTGGAGAACCATAGATCATAGATGCCTCTAGATGTCATTGGCACATGGGTGACACCACAGGAATAGAAGATACCACCCAAGGTGGAGAAGGAAGAGAACGCTGTGGCGTGTAATTATTGGGGGAACAGGCATGATTACTTGCCAGTGGCAAAAGCAAAACATAAGGGCCAAACAGGTTAGCCCAAGGCTCTGCCCTCTAGTAGAAAGGAACTCTTACAACAGGCTGTAACAATGAAGACAGATCGCAGTCATCCTGCTTTGGGCACCGGTTAAGATTGTAACAAAGATGAAACAGGCCACAACTGGTTAAATCCAAAATGGCCAAGAACTTGATCTAATGCTGATCCTTTTATCAGAAAATGTATGACATTATTACCATAAAGTTTGCATGGGGGAGCCTATCACTTTTATCATGCATCTGATGCCATGACCAGATTGATCACATTTAGTCAAGAAAAGGGTGGCACCCCTGATTCTGGGAATTGCCTACCCATTTTCCAGAAACTCCTTCCCCTTATTATAGAATATTCTGTGACTTCATAATGCTTACCCATATATTATTTGAGTCCCGACTATGTTGTTCACAGCTCATTCTTTCAAGCACACGCACACTCCTCTGCTGCGTGTATGCTTGCTTTTGCTCCACGATAAAGCTGCTATACTTTCGCTATAGTCTCATTTTCAAATTCTTTTGTGCTGCAAAGAGACAAACCTGTACTGGACTACTGACAACAAGGCTGTAGCAAATCTCTGGAAAAGCCTGACATTCAGCAGTGGGAGGAAGAAGAGAATTATCCAAAGTAGAGTGAGCAGGAAAGGCTCCAAGGATGTGAAGAAAATGGGGCAAGAGTGCTCTGGAGGCCAACAGGAGGGAGTCTCCAGAACTGTGCAAGTGATGCATTTTGAGGTTTGCTGCCATTCACAACAGACAAGCTACCTGCTTTCAAGATCTAAAGGGGGGCTTAAGATTTGATTTGCGAATATCTTCAGAGAAGAAACAGTCTCTACTGTCGATAGTGAGTTACAAGTGACTGATACCAGCTCTTCATTGGAAGGTTTTTCTTTCTTCCATTTGTCATGAACTGCAGTGGCCAGAAGAAGGGTTGGCACTATCCTAGCTCCCTGTTAATTTTTACAAATCAGCACTCTCTTATACGCCTTTGTAACATATTCCATTTCAATGCATACATTAGGTAGAAGATATGCAGCCTCCTACTTCTGCATTGCTGGGTGGCATTTACACACTCCTGGCCAGTCCCCTCATTCATGAATGATATTGGCACCTTCCATAAGGTCATCATGCTTAATGTCTTCTATAGCATTGAATAAACTCTACTATTTCCTTCACTGTAACTTCACTTCTTTTCTGTGGCTGACATTCGAACTTCTCGTTTTGTAGCTGTGGTCCCTTGTATTTCCATTATACTATGTAAAAAACAGAAACTGATCAGGCACATGGCTTCCTAGCATACTTTTTCAAATTCTGGTCTCTCTAGTTGTCTCAAGCTGGTCTCTGAACCTGGTCAATTTCCACATGACCATCCCATATTCTCCTTTCTGTTTCATTTCCCATATTACTAAACAAAATAAGAAAATATTCCAATGATTAGTAAGAAACTGTCAGGTCCTCCTGCGCCCCCTTCCAGGTGCTCGGCAGATACTTTCTCATTGCAGACACATACAGGAACTGGGTGGGAAATGATTAATGAGTGGTGGAGAATGGACTCTACTGGAGTGCTGGATTTTACCCAGTGTCATTCAAATTTGAACCTCTTAAAAGACCATATAGGTGAAACAGAATCAACTGGATATGATTTATGGCTTTTTCTTTCATTCCTTGCATCTTCAGAATCTGCAAATAAAAATGTAAATAGGTTAAATTTTGTTCAGTACTTGGAACATTGGCCCATAGTAAGTGCTGTATGGATGGATACAGAAATACGTCTACTACATAGAAGTTCTTTAACTGATTGAAAAAATATGCTTATGACCCTCTGGCATCCTCATCACAGGGACCCAAATCATTCCAGAATGCCTCTGGGCATAGTAACTAGGATTATAGCTCAGGAAGGACCTGGGAAGTGTCCGGTTCAACCTCCTTCATGTTACAGAGGCAGAAACTGAAGTCAGAGAGGGTAAACCACTACCAATCACCGTCTGATTGTGGTCCCTCGAGTTTCCCATAGCACTGCAACAAAATAAGATAATAGATCCAAGGCTTCTTAAGGCGATATAGCCATGTATTCAGCATTCATTTAATAAGACTATAATCCCAATGACTCTGGCAGAAGCCTGCTTTAAAATAAGGTTACAATTTTGGAGATGGTGTAAAACATATCTGAGGCATATATAAACCAAGAAGAGGCTAGGGCAGAATTTCTAATTCCAGGGAGTCTGAGGCTACTGACCTTGCAGCATGAACAGGGCTGATGAGTGAAGGCGGTGAGAATACCAGGGCTGTCAGTTCAGAAGGGGACCAGAGCCCAGCTATGCTGTATGTGGATACAAAACTCATGTACAGATATTCAGTCAGCATGCACCAGCTGTGGGCGGAAGAAATTATTTTTACTGTGTCCCTAACCCACTTGCTGTCTGTGGCTTTGTCCACAGAAGGAGGAACAGTGGTTTCTGGGCCCTGGCACTGTTCAGTGCTGGGGGAATTATGGTGAAGCCCTCAGCAGAGGGGCAGCTGCTTTAGTAGGAGACCAAAGCTACACTACTTTCGACTTTGCTGTTACAGGATGTCAGGTCCCAACCTTCAGTGTAAGCAGATAGTGGGAACGAACATAAGTACCTAACAGCCTTGGATGTTTAGGAAGAAATGCTTATGTTCATATTTATATTTAATATTTATATTAATACATAAAGGTCCTTGCTAACACCTTCTCACAGTTTTCTTTTACTCTTCTTTAAAGATCCACAAACTGGCTGAGTGCAGTGGCTCATGCCTGTAATCCTAGCACTTTGGGAGGCTGAGGCGGGAGGATTGCCTGAGCTCAGGAGTTTGAGACCAACCTGGGCAACGTGCCAAAACCATGTCTCTACTAAACCAAAAAAATAGTATGGCGTGGTGACACACACCTGTGATCCCAACTACTTGGGAAGCTGAGGCAGGAGAATCCCTTGAACCTGGGAGGCGGAGGTTGCAGTGAGCAGAGATCACGCCATTGTACTCCAGCGTGGGTGACAGAGCAAGACTCTGTCTTAAATAAATAAATATCCACAAACGATTATATGATTTCTGAGAAATGACTATTTCTATTTCTGAGTAGACAGCCAAAATTTTCTATACATTTTTGACTTTTTTATTTGACTTTTAACAGAGCCAAAGCCTTCTTGAGAGATAAAAATGACACTTTTGATATCTTGTAAATTATCTGCTTCTTCTCTCTTGTCCTCCTTAATTCCAGGGCAAAAAAAGAAAGATTAAGCTGGACATATCCCTGCTGTCTTTTCTAATTAAAAAAAGAATAAATTGCTTTCCTAAAACCCTAAAAGCCAGAAACTGGATATGATTTTTCTTGCCGGTATGGGTTCCACATTTAATCTACCATATTGTTGAATTATTGTTACTGTATTTCTGTTTTCCATAATTTTGCAATAGTTCCTGTAAACTTGGCTTCACTGTGGGCTTTCATCCTGATTTCACATTTTACTTTAGCCCATGACAACAATTAATAATTTAAAGTCTTCAGTTACATGTTATCAATCTCCTTGGGAGATTTTCAAGGCAACACTGATTGAAATGAAATGCTCTCCATATTCCTGAATGTTTATTATGGAAAGACACAGCTGCACTATTTTTCTGAAGTGTTACATATGAGCCATACATCAATATGGTTACCCAGCATGCACATATGTTAATGTGGAGATTTAGTAGAGGTTGTTTTTCACCTGTTGGGCTCAATAAGGTTATTATGATAAAGGTGACCAAAGGGATTTGTGAGAAGACGTGCTGTTTAGGAGACTTCCACCATGAGTTTTACAGTGCCAAGATAAACACCCTCTATAATGTAAAGTAAGTTGATTTAGAGGGAATTGTGCGCAAGCTCATCCCAAGAGGTAGGAATAGTTGACAGAAATAACCGAACATTTGTGCTATTTCTAATAGCTAGAGTGAATCATAGATAATAGAGGTGGGGAACTGGGAAGTTTTATTCTTTTCTTCACTGCAGTAAGTTGCAGGAAAAATATGTTTCTTTTATTTTGGAAAGGGAATTAAGGCTTGTAAACTTGATGTCGCACAACCTGACAGTTCTGCAAGAAAACAGCTTGAATTATTAAAATTTTCTATATTGGATTTATAGATGCCAACGAGCCACTAGTAATTTCTTTCTTCTCTTATTTTCCCCCCATTTATTTATTTTATTGCATTTTAGGTTTTGGGGTACATGTGAAGAACATGCAAAATTGTTGCATAGGTACACACGTGGCAGTGTGATTTGCTGCCTTCCTCCCCATCACCTACATCTGGCATTTCTCCCCTTGCTATCTCTCCCCAGCGGTCTCTATGTAGTTCTGAAAATAATAAGGGAATCACAAGTGTTGGTGATTGTATTCTAGTACAATTGTGCCTACCGGAGGATTCTAGTTCCAGAAATGTAAGCAGGAGGTTTTCTTTGTATAGGATAGCCTGCTGGGCTGACTCATAAATCAACACAGCCCCATCAGAACTGGCTACGCTGCAATAATAATTTCCACCTTTCCATCCCTAAAGTACCATCAAGTATGAGGCTCAGAACAGGCAGAAAATGCCTTTCTAGCCATTGTTCTAGTTAGTTGGTATTCATATTAATGCAGATACATTTGCATATGTTTCAGCCAGGAGAGGACCCTGTGTTGTGAAATCATAGCATTTTGTTATGGTCCTTAGAGAGTGAGGAAGCATTATTATGATAGCGCCTGTATTCCTGGACCATCACCAATGCTGGGCACTAAATAAATGGTGTTATTTTTTTGATGCATAAACAAGTGCAAGGCACTTCAAACTCCGTGTATCACTTCTTCATCTAAATTGGCAACATCTTACACTAGTTTCTTCCTGTGCACTAGAAGTATTTTTTTCGAAGCCAATGTCTTATCAAACTGCCTCTAATTGCCTGCTGTCTCTCCCTGTGTCTTTTGCTTCATCCTTTCCAAGTCTCCCTGCACTGCACCTCTTTCTGTGGGAATGATTATGCCAGATTGTGCCTTAGGTCTCCTCTACCCATCTCCTCTTCTATTTCAGGGTTTTCCTTCTGCTCTGGAATAACAAAGGCCTAGAATTTATCTGGCCCTGGGAATACCACCATTAGCTTTTTACTTTTGCATTTCCAAGTCTTGTTGTTCTTAGAGGCATTGGAAACTGTTAGAAATGGAAGGTGCCTGCAGTGGTGCTCCTGTTAAATCTCTTCTGTATTCAGAAGTGCAAATAGAGGGGTGACCTTACCCAGATGGCAAAGAGCAGTGCTGGAATGCAGAGAAATTCTCTGACCCCCAGGTGCTGACCTTGAGTGTGCTCTGACAAAGCTGGGGTCAGTGGGTGTATCCTCAGCACTTGGGCTGTCTCTGCTGGGGGAGAGTGTGGGGGGCTGAAGAGAAGAATGAATAAAGAAAGAAGTGGAGGAGAGAAGGGAGGAGAGAGAAGGAAATGTCCTGTGAAAAAGGAGGGAAGTCTAAAAGCACAACTGCATGCATCCAGCTTGCTGATATTTCCCATTTGCAGGTGGTACTGGGAGGCTGTGATGACAATGAGACAAAGCCTGGGCTCCACACAGGTGTCCGTTGCTGCTTAGAATGAACTGTGGAGGAGGTTTCGGTCACTATTCCATATAATCTGTTGCAAAAACCCTGATTTTTTTCCCTTCTCTATTTTTAATTTTAGAAAAAAAAAGTTTTAACATGGAGATTATGGCTTCCACTGAGCTGGGATTTTGTATTTTGAAATATGAAAAAGATTTATAAAATCAAAAGATCTGTGCTTTTTCCTCTTTCCAGCTGGAGCCAACTGAATATCCAAGTTTTCCTTTGAACAAACAGATATGCTCCTGGCTTTTTCCAGGCATTAAGCAATAAAATAACAAAAATGAAATGCCTAAAAATAAATGTATTTTAAAAACGTTAACCCTACAGCAAAGGATTATATTGTCTAATAATGCTACCTGCCTGAAACTTTATATTCCGATCATTTTTCTTAATAATAAAGCATTTTTTTTTTCAATTTAGGTATCCAGCATGATGTTTGCCTGCCTTGTTCATTAAGATCTTTCTTAGGATTTTAGCTCTGTTTTTATGATACTATATCATAAACATGATTTGCATAAATTTATTTACACTATGACAGTGCATCATACATTTTAAAAACCAGGTCTCAATAGTTTGACTTCCATTCATCTACAGGTCTCATATGTCAGGTGATTTTACATTATCTTTTGTTGTGCAGATGTTGCTACTCAGGAAAAAAAAGTGCATTGAGTAACTGTCCTCTAGCGACGTCAAAGCACTTTATCTGGATTTAAGAATCTGGCTCTCAGAGCTCAGACACCATGTACATTATTATTCCTGCTATAAATTTCAAATTTTATGCAATGAAAGATATTGAAATCCTTACTTACCAAGAGGATTTTAGATATCCATCTGTGTTGGAATGAATAATACCAGGATACATGGTAACTGATGGATTTTAGGATGTATCCGACAACTCTTCTTCATTTAAGCCCAATGAATGATGTAACCTTAATGGTTAAGCTTAAGCTTTAGCTAATACCATGCTGCATAATGAATTGCCTTAGACATTTTCTTCTTTAGTTAAGAAAACAAACACACATTTAAAGAAAGAAGTAGTCCACATAAAGGAACTAGCACTACACCAAAGTGAAACCAGCAAGTTTCAGGTTCTCCTTTGTTACGTGCCAGCAATACTGTCTTGAGCAGTTTTCTTCGTTTGAGCTTGTGAAATATTCTTGAGTTCTTTTCTGAACTGAAAACAGGGTGATTTATCTGATGTGAAAGTGGAAAAAGTTTGAAAAAATAACTTAGCTGGCCTATCTTAGGACCATGACCTTCTCTTCAGCAATGAAAACCTTAGAGCTTGTGTCCTGGGAGTTGTTTTAAGCCACCAAGTTTGTGATAAGTCGTTATGCATCAAGAGGGAAGTGATACAGTATCCTTGTAATTAAATTAGATGTTATTTGACATTTTGGAGTGACTGGAACATGCAATTTTGCATTTGAGCCAAGGGCCACAGTACTTTTTATTAAAATGTCAGGGATATAGGACTAAACACCGGGAAAAATTATGGACTATCATAGAAGGTCATAAAAGACATGCCAGAAATATTTTATTTTTAAAAACACTCTCAAGTGGTAAACAAAGAATTTTCTTAATGCCTGTTATAGGAAAAGAGGAATCTGAAGTCATTTCTGAGTCTAACTACAGTTCACATCCATGAAAATCTGAGGGCTTTGAACTAAAAATATGCACATATTATGGCACAGAAAGTTTTGAGTGGACAGTATGATTTTCTTCAGTACCGTTGAGATCTACTAGCTTGAGTTGTACAAAAACAAACTATGGTGGAGAATTGAAAACATAGCTGTGGATGACACTGCTTTTGTGTTACTCCAGGCTTTGTTATTTTATCTTATGCTGCTTATACTTCTTTCTGAAGCTGCTGTTACTCAACCATTACACAAAGGGAAAGTTGTTTCCCCGTCCATGAATATGCCATTATCCTAATTATTTAGGTGCTGTATATCGCATTTATAATGTAAGGTGTAAATATGAATTTTGCAATAATCAATCAAATAGGAAGAACAATTTGCATCACAAAACAAATAACTGTGTTATTTTAACATCTGAATATTCAAGTTTTTGATAGAAATTTGACTTTCTTAGAATTTGCCAAATTTATGCATGTAAGCATGCATTGAACTTTAATTTAAATTTTATATACTTCAATAAAACCAAAATTGTAGCACCATAATTGGATCATAGCAAATTCAATTTGTATGTTGTCAAATCTAGTGGATTCTAGAATTCTAGTTATGATTATTATAGTTATAATTAGCCTTAGGACACCCAGAGGTCACCAAATATAGCATAAAGAATCTGAAAGTGCTAATTAGGGAAATTATAGAAAATTTAAATCTATGTTAATTATGAATGACATATTTATTTTATCTCTTGTCTTTACTTCACACCTTTAAATATCATCATCTTTCTTATTTTTCCTCATCCAAAATACCAGTTGTTATTTTTTTTGAGATACTTCACTTACTGTGTAAATAATTGTTGAGAACTCTCCGCCTCAGTCTCTCTCTGTGCACACACACATACACATATACATAAATTTATTTCTGAGCCATTTGCAGGATGATTTATATACCCATGGCTTTAATCCCTAAGAACGTCGAGGTATATTTCCTAAGAAAGTCATATTATCTTACTTAAAAATAACACAGTCATCAATGTTAGTAAATTTTACACATATATTTTAATTAATCTACCACTTACATTCCAATTTGACCCTTTATAAGCATTTTTCCCCCTCTAGTATAGGTTTGTGTGGAACTGGGGCTTCATTTAGTCATGTCTCATTGGCCTTTTAACTGAAACATTTCCATACCCTTTTATTATTGCCTTTTAAAACATTGATTTTTAAAAAATAATTTTTTAAAAATAATATTCTCACTTTGAATTTGATATATGCATGGGATTAGACACAGGTTTTGCACTTTTGCTGAGGTTACTGTGTAGTTGGTTGTGTCATTCTCAGAGTGTGTTGTCTGGAATCACATAATGTTCACTTATGAAAGATGTTAATTTTGGCCCACTGGTGTGATGGTCAGCTTCATGCATCAGCTTGGCTAGGCTACAGTGTCTGGTTATTCAATTGAACACGAATCTAGGTGTTACACTATACATATATATATATATATAAAACACTAAAGTTGACTTTCAGTAAGTGAGACTCCCACATAATCTTAGTGGCTTGATTCAATCAGTAGAAAGGCCTTACAAGCAGAGCTGAGGCTTCCCTGAAGGAATAGTTGTTCTTCCTGTGGACAGAGCTTTGGCTCATGCCTGACAGTTTCAGTTGCCCTTGATGGCCTGCGGTATGGACTTGTCTACTCACCCCCATCATTGTATAAGCCAACTTCCTGCAATAAATCTCTTTATACACATCTGTTACTGTTTCTTTTTTTCTTTTTCTGGTTCAACCCTAACTGCTAACGATTCAAATCTGTATTAGTTTTCTATTCTGCCATGACAAGTTACCATAAATTTAATGGCTTAAAGCAACAGAAATTTATTATTTTAGAGTTCTGGAGTCCAAAAGTCTACTGCGTGTTGGCAGGCCTGCATTTCTTTAATGCTCTAAGAAAGACGTCACTTCCTTGCTTTTAATACTTGCAGAGACTGCCTGCATTCCTTGACTCATGGTCTCCCACAATTCTGACCTCTCCTTCCTTAATCAGTCTCCTTCTGAATCTTAACACTCCTGACTCCCTTGCAAACACTTTTGTGACTGTATTGGGCAGATCTTGATAATCCAGGAAAATTTCCCCACCTCAAAGCCTTTAATTCGATCATATCAGCAAAGCTTTTTTTTTGCCATATAAATTGATGTATTAACAGGATCTGGGGATTAGGAGGCAGTCATCATTGGAGAGAGCCATCACTTTGCTCATCCCAGCCTGGCCCTTTGACTCCCAAAGATTCACATCTATCCCATATGCAAAAATGCATTCACCCAATTCCAAGGTCCCCCAAATGTCTGAACCTATTATACCATCACATAAAAATTTCATTTAAGTGCCATTCACTCAAAACTCCCAAATATCATCATTAAAATCATCTGCATTTGATACAGGTGAGGCTCTGAGTGTAATCCATCTTGGGGCAAAATTTCTCTTCATTTGAAGACCTATAAAGCTAGAAAACAAATTGTCTGCATCTATGATGCAATGGTGAGGTAGGCAAAATAGCACAATTACAGACATTTTTATTCAGAAAGATAAAAACCAGAAAGAAATAGGAATTCCCATTCCCAAGCAGTTCTAATATCCAACCAGGCTACCAACGCTGGCTTTCAAGGACTGGAGATAATCCTCTGTGGTTCATGACACCACACTTTGGGCTTACGGCTTTGTCCTTGGAGTCATCTTAATTTCATGACAGGTAGCATACTCTGGCTGCTGAATAGTTTAACCAAACTGTTTCCTGTTTAGAATTTTGATGGCCCAGCATTCCTCCTCCATGTTACACTCTTTATGTCCCTTTCATTCTGAGCTGGCAGCATTTTTGTTGGTATTATATCCAATGTGGGTCTCTGGTGTATGTCTCAGGATTTGCCCTACTAGGTAAAAGATTGCTTCACAGATTTTACCCAAATAATTCCTACTCTACTTCTATCTTCTGGCTTAGATGGCTGAGAGGATCCATAAATAACATGTCAGTGTTTTCCAAGAATCCACTCTGTATCTAAATACTCTGACATTTTCATTCTTCTGACACACCAAGCTGTTTAGCCATACCTTTGGCTTTCTCTCCACGGCATGTGTTCCTGAGAGTAAGTTTCGTCATTTTGGAGAGAGAGATCCAAGATGGCTGATCACTAGCAGCTCGGGATTGTAGCTCCCACTGAAAGCGCAGAGATCGAGAGGACGCCACACTTTCAGACCAATTTTTGTTGCTCATGCACCAGGAGATTCCCAGCGGAGGAGCCCCACGTGTGTCTCCAGCGCGACTCTTGATGCTGGTGAGGCGGTTTTGCCGCTGCCTTGGAGCGATGGTTCTTGGTGCAGAGTCAGAAAAGCACCATCAATCTTAAAGCCTCTGTTTTGGTCGGAGCAGTGGGTTGCTCAGATTCTAGCGCCAGGAATCAACAAGTTGGACGTCCATTCAGAAACCCAATTATAAAGATGGTAATTATAAAGACAACAGATGGATAAATTTATAATGAAGGGAAGAAACCAGCCTAAAAAGGCTGAGAATACCCAAAATCAGAATGCCTCTCCCTCTACAGGGGATCACAGTTCCTCTTCAGAAACAGAACAAGGCCTGATGGAGAAAGACTGTTCCATTAGCAGAAGCTGGCTTTAAAAAGTGGATGATAAGAAACTTCTGGGAATTAAAAGAACTTGTTCTAACCCAATGCAAAGCAACCAAGAACTTTGAAAAAAGGTTTGAAGAAATGTTAACAATAACACACAATTTAGAGAGGAATATAAGTGAATTAATGGAGCTGAAAAATACAACACGAGAACTTCGCGAACTATGCACAAGTTTTAACAGCCGAATTGATCAAGCAAAAGAAAAGATATCAGAGGTCAAAGACCAACTTCATGAAATAAAACAAAAAGACAAAATTAGAGAAAAAAGGATAAAAAAGAACGAGCAAAGTCTCCAAGAAATATGGGACTATGTGAAAAGACCTAATACCTGTATGTGACGAAGAGAATCAATTCAAGCTGGAAAATACGCTTCAGGATATTATTCAGGAAAACTTTCCTAACCTAGCAAGGCAGGACAATATTCAACTCCAGGAAATGCAGAGAACACCACAAAAATATTCCTCAAGAAGACCAACTTCAAGGCACATAATCGCCAGATTCACCAGGGTTGAAATGAAAGAGAAAATACTGAGGGCAGCCAGAGAGAAAGGTCAGGTTACCCATAAAGGGAAGCCCATCAGACTCGCAGCAGATCTCTCAGTAGGAACCCTACAAGCCAGAAGAGAGTGGGGGCCAATATTCAACATCCTTAAAGAAAAAAACTTTCAACCCAGAATTTTACATCCAGCTAAACTAAGCTTCATAAGCGAAGGAAAAATAAAATCTTTTGTGAACAAGCAAGCACTCAGAGATTTCATCACCACCAGGCCTGCTTTACAAGAGCTTCTGAAAGAACCACTACAAATAGAAAGGAACAACCAGTATCAGCCTTTCTAAAAAATACCAAAAAATAAACACTTCAACTAAAGGGCAAAACAGCCAGCTAACATTAAATGACAGTATCAAACACACATATATTGTCATTAATTTAAATAGACTAAATCCCCCAATCCATAGACACAGACAGGCAAAAAAAGCCAAGACCCATTGGTATGCTACATCCAGATCCATCTCACATGCAAGGATACATAAAGACTCAAAACAAAGGGATGGTGAAAAATTTACCAACCAAATGGAGAGCTAAAATAAATAAATAGAAAGCAGGAGTTGCAATTTTTGCTGATAAAATAGATTTCAAAGCAACAAAGATCAAAAGAAGCAAAGAAGGATATTGCATGAAGATAAAAGGATCAATGTAACAAGAAGAGCTAAAGATCCTAAACATATATGCACCCAATACAGGAATACCCAGATATATAAGACTTACAAGGAGACTTGGACCCCCACACAATAATAGCGGGAGACTTCAACATCAAAATTAGATAGATCAATGAGACAGAATGTTAACATCGATATCCAGGACTTGAACTCAGATCTGGAACAAGTAGACTTAATTAACATTCATAGAACTCTCCACTTTAAATACACAAAACATACACTCTTATCAGTACTACATCACACGTATTTACAGGTTTAAATGAAATATTGGTTGGCTGCTTGTTAATTATTTTCTTCCTGTCTCTATTATTAAACATAATTACAGGCATACCCATTTTTAGACTGCATTCTAGCCCGGGCAATAAAGCAACACCCCTGTTCTCTCTCCTTCTTCCTCTTCCTCTTTCTTCCTTTCCTTTATTCTTTTTTTTTCTTTTTCTTTTTTAAATTCTTTTTCTTTCTTTCTCTCTTTCTTCCTCAAAAAAAAAAAAAAGTTTCCTCATTTTATGGTCTTTTGATATCTGGAATGTCTCAGAATGCCCTGTTTATCTAGTTCTGCTTCTTTGCAGCTTAACAGTTTTTCCTTCAATTTTTCTTTTTCTTCTAACATTTTACTATAAAAAGCAAAAAGAAACCAGGCTCCACCTTCAACACCTTGGATGAAAATATTTTCAGTTAATATCCAAGTTCATTATTTATACATTGTGCTGTCAACATGACCATAGTTACATTTTTCTCACCCTCCTAGGAATGCTGAAGCCATGAGCCTTCTGTGGTTTAACCCATTCTTCTTGTTGATGTCATGTTTTGGGAGCGAGAAGGAGTAAGCAGATGAAAAACCAAGCTTTTGTTATTTTCTCCAGACCTAGAATCCTCCATCTCTTTTTTCATATTTTATCTCATTTCTTTAAGTGTTTCTTCGCTTTTACTCACATTGGAATTCAAAAAAATTATCAAATTATTGTAATAATTTCTTATTCAATAATTTAATTTAATTCAATAATAATTCAATAATTTAATTCAATTTAGTCCAGTAATTTGATTCTTAGCAAGCTTATTTAGTCCTTGTTTTTCCTCTTAATATGATAATTAAATATCTAATTGTCTTTTAACTTGCTTTCTTCATTCTAAATTTTTTCTTCTTATACTTTTATCGCCTCGATTTTGAATTTGCATTCTTAAATTCTGCTGTATCTGAAAGCATTGGTAGGTTTTATTCCATGCCTTGGACAATGTTTTCTTCCAGAATGAGTTATTCTTTGTTCCTAACTTCTTTTATCTTTCTCCCCCTCTCTCTCCTTCTCTTCTCACATTCTTGTATTTCTTTTCTTTGCTCACCTAGTTGCTATCCTAATTATGACCATTTTGGTGATGTTATAATTGGCAGCTGTCTCTGGATTCTTACCTTTCAGCGATACAGTATAGGTGAATAGTCCTCGGCACTCCTCTTGCATCTTCGACTGTGGTTTGTCTTTTCTTCTGTGTATGGTAGAGATTGTCTATTGATACTTAATACCATCTTAAGTCTTTTAAACTCTAATTTGTATCCTAATGGCCAGAAACATGAAACCTATATTTTACATATTCTTCTGACATTTCTGGCATACATTTTCACCAGTAAGAAGCACCTGAATGACATTTGGAAGATGAAAGAGAAAGGGAAGCCATTATTTTGTTGTAGCAGCAGTGGATCCTGCATCCATGGACTCATAGGCAGATAACGGATTTGAGGTGTGCAGTGATTTCTGAATAAGTTCCTTTGCTTTTCGATACTACAGTATCAGTAGTTAAAATATTTAGATTTTTTTCCTTGAATAACTACGGAGATACTCAAGCCACATTTTGAGGGTTACTGTAGTTTTCTATCCACTTTTATGAAGCCTATGGGATGAGAATATGGTGTAGCAATGTCAGATAATACTAAGTGACGTCTTTGATGGACATTTGGTCTCTATCTCTTTGGAGAAGCTACTAAATATTCTGAGATTAGGACCACTTTCTTTATTCAGGGGTGTGCACAACTTCTATGAACATCAGTCATGCTAATTTTGATTTAAGAAATGTCTTATTTGTCTCAGAATTAATACATCTAGTAACAATGTAAAAATGTTCAAGATGACATATTCAGAACTTGCTACAAATAAAAAGCGGGTCTTATGTGGCCCTTCCTTGTGACATTATCTGATTAAGAACATTTGACTGAGGATGTGACCCAATATAAAAGTCCTAAACCCCTTTGGCTGCCTCTCCCTTTGGCTGACATTATGGGAAAATAAAGGTAGTTCAATACTAATTGAAACGTCAAGTTTGTCTTGGATTTCTAAGTCAATGTAGGGATAAATTTAATTAAAATGACAAATGGGATTAATAGAGCTCACCTAGGTCCCTCAGAGGCTGCCATAATCAAGGGAAAGTTGGACACCAGTATTGCAGTGAGTAAGGAGGGTTCAACCTAACTGGCAACTAAGCTCACAAGAGCTTTAATCTAACATGGCACATACTGACCCTTACAGGAACATACAATAGGAAACACAGTCCACACTGCATCTTGTCTCATAGCACAATAGCTTCCAAGTAACCAGGATTTTTGATGGCCTCTCCCATAAGGACCGAGTGCACTTGGCTCTCTGCAAATGACAGCCAAGGTGTGATTGCCAAGTTGACAGACAGAGAAGCTAGGCTTTCCACCATATTTATCCTATTCTATAACATAGGCCCAGGGCTCATTTGCCAACTCACAGCTTCCCAAGCTCAGGTGCCATCCCACAGAAAAAAAATGTTCACAAGGAACAAGGCAGACATGCATTCCATATTTTTCTTAGCTCTGTTTTCAGAAATTACTATAAAAAGACAGACCATGCCAGGTCTGATATTAACCATTTTCCCAGAATTAGATAGACTTTTTCCCAGGAAGACTAGCCAAGATTTCAATCTGAAGGCTGATTCAGGACCTAAACAAAGTGAGGAAGAAATACTGGATGTATCTTTCTTTACCTGCTTCACATTGTAATGTATGGCTGCAGGGAGTCTAGATGCTTCTAGGATGAGCCAGGGCCGCACCATTCTGGCACAATTCTTACCTGAGTTTATAGCTGTAAGCAGAGATTGCCACTTACAACCTAGAATCTGTCATGTGTAGGTGACAATAGCTTTAACTGACTTTGCTTCAGAATAAGATTAAGTCTACTTTCAATAGATAGAATTTGAAGTTTGCTTTTTTTTTTTTTTCTGGCCCCTCATTTAAAAAGCAACATAAAAAAGCAATACTCTGCTTGACTCTTTCATATCACATGCAACTGATGAATTAATCAGAAGAAATGCTCTTGAGCTGTCTGTCTCCTGGTTCTTTATCCTACTCCTGGCTGGACTCTGCTGATCTTTCATTAGCGATGATGAGCTCAGGGTGGAAAGGTGCTTCTCTCTCTGTTCCTGAGAGAACGTCATCTTGGCCATCTCATACATT